CCTCCCATGCTACTTTTAGAAGTTCTAGGAACCACTAGTAAACCTGCAGACTGAGAGCGAAGTGACCTGAGATCAGCTGCTGGGAAATAAACTGAAAATGTCAAAGTTTGATTTTTGGTTCAGATCCTGAAAGCTGCTGATCCTCCTGAGTCTGTTTCAGTTTCTATTTATTCTTCCTAAAACTGGAAACTCTTCAAATTCATTATTTTATATCAGACTAACTGCTTCTCTAATAACTAGTTACTCTGATTGAGCAGTAAGTGGGTAACCAGCTGGTAACTGATGCTCCTTCATGTCCATTTTGCGTGTTTCTGCTCACCTTGAACGGCTCACTCACTCCGATGATGCTGCGCAGGTTGTTGCTATAGTAACACAGGACACAGTCTCCCCCCCGAACAGGGATCTCCTCTTTACTCACAAACACCTAAAAGCAGGAGCAGAGTTACAGGTCTGCAGGCGTCAGGCTGTGCTGCAGGATGGAGCGGCAGCTACCTGCATCAGCTCCCCGTTAAACGCCGCCTCGTTGTCTTTCACCCAGGCGTAGGTGATGTAGTCCGACACGCCGCCGAACCCAACCTGCAACCCAAACAACCAGTCAGACACTGAAGCTCAATCACCTCAATCAGCAGGCGGGGAGCGGCCAACCTTATAGAGTCCGATCCAGTCCCAGCTGCTGGACGGGAAGGGCTGCAGGGGGCAGTAGAGAGCCAGGCAGTCAATGTCTGCGCTCCAGTCGCCCTCTGGGCGGAGACTCACCAGAGGAGTCTGCTGCTCCCTGCTCAGCTGAGGAGGAGAGGAGAGGAGATGAAGGAAGGAGAGGAGATGAAGGAAGGAGAGGAGAGGAGATGAAGGAAGGAGAGGAGAGGAGAGGAGATGAAGGAAGGAGAGGAGATGAAGGAAGGAGAGGAGATGAAGGAAGGAGAGGAGATGAAGGAAGGAGAGGAGAGGAGAGAGAGGAAGGAGAGGAGAGGAGAGAGAGGAAGGAAGGAAGGAAGGAAGGAAGGAAGGAAGGAAGGAAGGAAGGAAGGAAGGAAGGAAGGAGATGAGAGGAGATGAAGGAAGGAGCCGTTAGAAGCGGCCCTACAGATAAACATGGTGGACAGACGGGTTCAGTGAGGCGTCTGGTTGGTTGGTTGCTCACCTCCAGGGTGAAGACGCCGATGACAGGTTTGTGGTCGCTGACGCTGTACTCCATCTTACTGGTGTAGAGGTTCAGCCTGACCTGCAGGGGGTGCTCCTCTTCCTCATTATGCTTCCTCTCCTTCAGGACGTTTTGCTCCTCGGGGGGCGGGGATTTGGGTCGGACCCGCCACAGGATGCGGTCGGTCCACGCCGGTTTTCGCTTCTTCGCGCTGGACAGGAAGAAATAAGCAGGAGTCAGTTTGGAAACAAAAGGATTGAACTTTTATATTAGTGTTTATATCACATTTATATGTTTTATATGGAACCAAATTCATACCGACATGTATGGAGGGAATTCTGTTCCATTATTGTTGCAGCAATGAACATGAGTCAGTAATGGAAATTGGAAAAAATGCAATCTAGACATGAAACTTTGAAAATATTACTCTAAGTAAAAAGTTACTGTTTTCTCTGATTTTCCAAAATAAAATATAAAATTGTTTTTTTTTTCATCAGTTTCACAGATTTTACATTTCAGAAAATTGTGTTAACTCTGGGGGCGGGGGGGAGGAGTGAAGGCGCGTTCCTATTGGTCTGCTGGATGTTAGCAACATTTTTATTGGGTTTGAAGTGAAACAACATGATCTATAAAATATAATGAATATAATCCAGAAAAATGCCATCTGAAAAACCAAAACTTGGAATAAAAACTTTTAAAATATGAAACCATAAAAAGAAAACTTTATCAAAAATAGAAAACTTGAAATTGAGTAAAAGTAATTTGAAAGAAAGCAGTAAAGTTACTCTTAAAACATTGTTTTGATTCTGACATTTTTCTGTTTCATGTCTGGATTGATTTTTTTTTTTTTTATTGGATTAAAAATAGTTTTTTGCAAAAATAATGGAACAAAGTTCCCTCCATACTCGCCTCCCTTCCATTGCTGAAAGTTTTTTCCTAAATCAGTAGAAATCCTGCAGTGAAATCAAAGGGAGGAGCTTTTCCATACATTTCCATTAATAACATGAATGGACAGAAATATTAATAATCATTTTCTATATTAATAAACATGCTCCGTTTACTGTAGACACTAGGAAGCAGTGAGGTGGTGTTAATGCGGGTTAATATGGACCCAGCTGTGGGGAAAACTCCATCTTTGTCAGGTAAATTAGATCAAATCTTAGTTTACAATAATTTGATCATTTGGATTAATTTAATTTAATTAATTTCTCTCTGTGTGTGTCAGTGCTTCCATAAAACCCCAGAGGTCTGTTTATCCTTCAGCATTGATGCTGATGAGGATTCTCAGTCATCCAGGTCAGAGTCATTCCAAAAAAGTAAATAAAAAACAACCAAAAACAATCTTTGTTTCCTCGTTTGAAGACGTTTCTCTTCCATCCAGGAAGCTTCTTCTATTCAAAATGTCAGAAATAGCGTGAAGGGAAGGAATCCTGTCGCTGCATTGTAGATTATTGAAAGATTTAAGCCTCATTTACGCTACCCTTGAAAAACCGATCCATGCCGAGACCGGTCCGAGCTCGGATCAGTTAACCAGGCCGAGCTCGGTTCTGACGACCGTTTACACATCATGCTATCTACGTTCCTCGACTCCTAGTGACGATCTGCGGTA